AAAAAAAAAAAAAAAAAAAAAAACAGCCAGGTGAGCATGGTGGTGCACTCCTGTAGTCTCAGCTACTTGGGAGGTTGGGGTGAGAGGATGGCTTGCAGCAGTTTGTGGTTGCAGTGAGCTATGATTATGCCACTGCACTCCAACCTGGGACAGAGAAAGACCTCTCTCAAATTTTAAAACATAAAGTTTAATATAAGAATTTAAAACTAAAAAAAACGTTATTTAAAAAGGAGGTAAAGAAAGAATTTTTTTGTATAGCTGTATAATGTGTTTTAAGCTAAGTGGGTTTTTTTTCTTTTTGAGATAGGGTCTTGCTCTGTCACTTAGGCTGGAGGGCAGTAGTGTGATCACAGCTCACTGCAGACTTGACCTCCCAAGCTCAAGCAATCCACTTGCCTCAGCCTCCTAAGTAGCTGGGACTACAGACAGGCACCACCAGGCTTGGATTTCTTTCTTTCTTTCTTTCTTTCTTTCTTTCTTTCTTTCTTTCTTTCACTGAGAGCTTTTTCTTTCTTTCTTTCATTTTATTATACTTTAAGTTCTCAAAGACATGTGCAGAATGTACAGGTTTGTTACATAGGTATACATATGTGCCATGGTGGTTTGCTGCACCCATCAACCTGTCATCTACACTAGGTATTTCTCCTAATGCTATCCCTCCTCTAGCCCTCCACCCCTCTGCTATCCCTCCCCTAGCCCTCCACCCCTCTGCTATCCCTCTCCTAGCCCCGCCACTACCACACAGGCTCCAGTGTGTGATGTTCCCCTCCCTGTTTCCATGTGTTCTCATCGTTCAACTCCCACTTATGAGTGAGAACATGCAGTGTTTCTGTTCTTGTGTTAGTTTGCTGAGAATGATGGTTTCTAGCTTCGTCCATGTCCCTGCAAAGGACATGAATCCATCCTTTTTTGCGGCTGCATAGTATTCCATGGTGTATATGTGCCACATTTTTTAAATCCAGTCTATCTGCACTGGTACAGTGGCGAATAAAAAAAAAGAGAGAGAGAGAGAATTAAGAATCCAGTCTATCATTGATGGGCATTTTGGTTGGTTCCAAGTCTTTGCTATCGTAAACAGTGCTACAATAAACGTACATGTACATGTGTCTTTATAGTGGAATGATTTATAATCCTTTGGGTATATACCCAGTAATGGGATTGCTGGGTCAAATGGTATTTCTGGTTCTAGATCCTTGAGGAACTGCCACACTGTCTTCCACAACAGTTGCACTAATTTACACTCCCACCAACAGTGTAAAAGTGTTCCTGGTTCTCCACATCCTCTCCAGCATCTGCTGTTTCCTGACTTTTTAATGATCGCCATTCTAACTGGCATGAGATGGTATCTCATTGTGGTTTTGATTTGCATTTCTCTAATGATCAGTGATGATGAGCTTTTTTTTCCTATGTTTGTTCGCCATATATATATATATTTTTTTTTTTTTTTAAGAGGAGACAAAGTTTCTCTGTGTTACCCAGGCTGGTCTTGAACACTTGAGCTCAAGCAATCCTCTTACCTCAGCCTCTCAAAGTGCGGGGAGTGTGTCCAGCCCATGATTGTATTTTCAAATTCAAATTGCTGAGGCTTTATGTTAAGACTTGAAATAAAGTATTTTAATCCCCCAGCTTTGTTCTTTATGAAAATTGTGTTGGCTATTTCAGGTCTTTGAATTTCTACCTGAATTTTTGACTCGGCTTGACAATTTCTTACAAAATAGTGTACTATGATTTTGATTGAGATTATGTTGAATCTAAACATAAATTTGGGGAAAACTGGCATCTTAACAATATTAAGGCTGGGCATGGTGGCTCATGCCTGTAATCCCAGCACTTTGGGAGGCCAAGGCAGGTGGATCACCTGAGGTCAGGAGTTCGGGACCAGTCTGACCAATATGGTAAAACCCTGTCTCTACTAAAAATACAAAAAAATCAGGTCTGGTGGCATGTGCCTGTAGTCCCAGCTACTCGGGAGGCTGAGACAGGAGAATTCCTTGAACCTGGAAGTTGGAGGTTGCAGTGAGCTGAGATTGTGCCACTGTACTCCAGCCTGGGCAACAGAG